GAGGAGGACTAGCAAGGTGGAGCCCCTTGGAGGTGATAGACAGGCAGAGAGAAGGCAAGCAGGGACTTGAAGGGATTTCTGGGTTTGCGATCCCCCCTCCCCCCTCACCTAAGTGCACTTCAGGGACAGAGGAAAGGGAGAAGGCATTGTGGCCTTAGGAGTAAGGCTCTCACTTACCGAGAGCCAAATGGGCCCCAGCGCCTCACAGAGAGAAAGCAGATCATTGGGCTCCTCGCTCTACCTCGGAAGTCGGTGTCAAGAGCTAGGACTCAGTGGTTATAGCGTTTATTTTCTTAAGAAATCAAACTATGGTTTTGTCAAAAAAGAGGTTGTATTGGATCCCATAAAGCCAAGTGCCAAAGGATTTGAGGCTTTTAGGATTGAGGGTCTCAGGTCTTGCCCCTCGTCTCTGGGTTCCACTGTCCTCTGTGTTGGCTTTATCCTTAGACTCTTCTTCATGGTGACAAAATGGCTGTGGGTCACTCAGCCTGTCTCCTTCACGTTTGTGTCACTGGCCCATCCCCAAGCTAATCACTGTGGCCAGGAAAACTAAATACACTAAACACACTTGGAACTTCACCTGACCCTCATACTCCTTGGGTTTGCGTCCGTTCACCTGTCCTCTTGCTGGCCTTGTCCCAGACACATGCATCATCACCTTGTTCCTCATTACAGGTGTGTTCAACCTCAGGGCCTTTGCATTGGCTCCTCACCTAGAACTCTGCCCAGCTCTGCTTCCCTGAGGTCTTTCCCAAATGTTACCTCCCCTAAGCACTGGATTTAAAATTAAACTCACGGGGCTGGAGAGGTAGCTCAGTGCTTAAAAGCACCCACTGGTCTTTTACAGAGGACCTGGGTTCAGTTCCCAGCACCCACAGAGCAGCTCATAACTCCAGTTCCAGGGAATCTGATGCCCTCTACTGGTCTCTGCAAGCATTGCATGCACATGGCATACTTACACACAAACACTTATACACATAAAGCAAAAATAAATAGAATCTTAAAATTGACCTCGCACTGATACTACCCTCTTGGTGCTCATTTACATGCTCCCTAACACTTTCTCTCTTTTTTTTCTTTTTTGGTTTTATCTAGAGCACATCTCACCACCAGACGATAACCAATTAGACAATGAGATAATGCGTTAATCTTCCTCTTCCCTCACTAGTGCAAAACAAATTCACAAGACCAAAGCCTTTCCCACCCTGTTCACCATCTTAAGCCCAGGTCCTAGAGTAACCTAGTACATAGCAAGTGCTCCACACACTGTTGGAAGAATGAGCAGTGAGGTTACAAGCAGAAGCTCTGGGAAGGGAGAAGGGGTGGAGGTCAAGGGCAAGTGGTGCCCTAAGTCCTTGCAGGAAGGACTATGGAAGGTACGTGATTGGCACCTGGGCCTCCAATACAAATGTCCAACCTCCCCCGCCCCTTGCAGCACACAAGCAGACTACTCTCTCTCTCTCTCTCTGGCCACACCTCTAAGTCACAGCTGCAGCTCCCTAAAGCAATTCTCTGGGGTGTGTGTCCCCTTTCCGCCTCCAACCGCAACCCCAATGGGTCTGAAGCGAGGCCACCATCTCCATGTCCTCCACGGCCCGGCAGAGCCCTGCTCGTACAGGATGGTGTCAATCTTCCCAATCTCCCCCCGGCCATTTGTCCACTCCCCCCACTCCACCCCCACCACCCCCACCCGCTCCTCTTTGTGTATTTTTACATGACAGTCAATAGAGGACGGACTTCAGGGCTTTTATCAAAGCCGGGATTGCAACCTCTAACATTATAATCCATAGGGCAGAAAGGAGCATTAGTATATCCGGGATAAATTAATTCAGTGTATAAGTAAGCGCTTTGAAGCTGGGCACGTTGCTTGGCTTTTGAAGCTTAAGCCCTGTTTAGATTACTTGATTAAAGTGGGTCCAAAGCTGCAGCAATCAATATATTCTGCTTAAGAGCAATGTTGCCACAGAGGCAGACTCCATTGCGTCCATGTTGCCTTGCGCTCTGGATAGCTTTGCGGAATATAACGCGATATTATAGGAGCCCAAAAGCAGAAGGAGGGGAGGGAGGGGGGAGAGAGGAGGGGAAGTCATTCAAGTCAGCACCCTGGGAAAGCTTGGGATGCAGGCTTGCAGGCTGTGTGCATAAATAAGCCCTGAAAATGAGAAATTGGGGCAAATAGAGGTGGCCATCACTGCTTACAATGTCTTCGTGTGGACGGCACCTGGGGTTTTCTTGTCTATCTTGAGGGTGGATCCCTGGGTGGCAATGGAGGGAATCTGTTAAGTCCTAATAGTATGACATTTTTAGGAAGACAGGCTGGCACTTCATCAAAGTCATTGTGATTAATGGGGAGGTTGACCTGCCGGGGCCCTAGAGGCGGGAGATGACAACATCCCTAATATAAGGGACAGTCAGGTGACTCAGCTGCAGGGGACTGGAGAGGCATCCAGAATGACTGAGGAGAGGGAGGAAATAACCTGTCCAGCCTGCCTACTGTGTGCTGGCCACCGCTCCAGGAACTCAGTGTGTTCGTTTTGAGACACGGCCCCATGTAGCTCAACCTGGTGTCACACTTGCTATGTGGCCAATGATGAGCTTAGACTTGTGATCCTCCTGCCTGTGCCTCTCAAATGCCGGGATTGCAAGCAAGTGGTGCTGACATCCCAAGGACATTTGGAGAAAGAAAAAAAAAAAACACCTACAAGTGAGGAAGAGCTATGACCTCTTGTCACCTGTCCACCGAGGCTGTCTGCATGCCAGCACACCCTACCCTCACAGTGTGTGGCTACTGAGAGAGCTCAGGGGTTTCCGAGCCTCTATTCCCTATTTAAGTTTCACACAAAATATTTTTATTTATGTTTCAACAATGACACGGCGCCATATGCCCATGAATCAGACCCAGGAGAGAGTCTGCAGACTCGCTCCCTGAGAGGAGCTGAGCAGAACACGACCTTGGAAACAGAGGACACACATTAAACTCCGGGAAGGACATGTGTCAGAAAACAGAGAAGGATACACACCGGACTCAGGGAGCAGGCAGAGAACTCGCTGAATTTTCTTAGCTTCTCAAGTAGGAGTCGGGGAAACCAACCAAGATTTCCCTGAAACTTCCCTTAGCTTGTTCAGTGCTTCGGGAATGCTCATTTTGGCCCCATCGAATACCTAAATCCCCTTTCAAGGTTTGGGAAACTCACTACCTTTTTAAACGGTGTGTGCTACTGCTGCTTCTCACTCTGCAAGTGGACACTGACACCTTTCCCAGCATCCCTTGCAGCTAGAACGTGGCTACGTGACACAGATAAGCTGTATTTGCCAGAGGTACCCACCCAGACTTTGACTCTAGACCTAACAACATGAGAAAGCAATGCTCTAGGACTGATGAGATAGTCTGGGTGTTAAAGGGCCTGCCCTGAAAGCATGAGGACCTGAGTTCAAGCCCCACAATCTACCTTCAAGGACACAGAGAGAGTAGACGTGGCATCAAAGCTTAATAAAAGTGAATCACCCAAGACCAAATAACTTGGAGACCAGGGCATGATTAGAAGCCCAGGTGTATTTATTTATGTTTGCTTGCTTGTTTGTGAGACAGGGTCTTAAGAAGCCCAAGCCCTGAACTTGCTATGTACCCAAGAGCTGTCTTTCTAACTTCCAATCCTCCTGCCTCCACCTGCCAAGTGCTAGGATTAGAGGTAGGCACATCATGCCGGGTTTATGCTGTGCCGGGGATCAGACCCAGGGCTTTGTGCATGCTGGGCAGGCACTCTACCAACTGAGCCACATCCCCATCTCCAGCCCCGCCCCCACCCCCAGGTGGTATCTTTATAAGGAACTAGAGCTCCCATCCACCACCAACATCCTCCCTGCCCC